GTGTCCTCGATCCCCGCTCCAGACCTCCGTTTGATCCTCTGCTCGTGCTCGGCCAGCCTCAGCGTCTCTTCCAGAGTACCTCTCGAAAGCATGGGGTGGAACAGAATACGGTCTTTGACATCGTCGTACATTGGGAGCAAGCCACGCGCGAAGTGTCTCGACATTATCGTCTCCTCTCGATTGTCCCCCCAAGACTGTAATTGCATCCACACAGTATTCGCCCTTCCCCAGTAGTCGAGCAGAGTCTCTCCATGCTTCTGTCTAAGGCAGTTCCAAGTGTCGTCCAGGATTTCTCTCTCATGCGTCCTACTTCTAGTGTAGTAGGACTGAAACGCTATCCACCCTGCTTGTGGACTCTCTGAAGCTAGTATCTGGTCTAGTATAGGTTGAACGTTGATTTTCGTGATCAAGCATATCCAGACTCTCCTGGCCTTTCGAACACTTTCATCGCCATACCTCTGCCGCAACCAAGCCTTATCGACGTGCAACGAACCCACAGGAATCTCTTCTCCTTTCATGATCTCTTCAACACCTTCTGCATCCGTCCACCCTGAGAAACAACTCGTGAAAATTCGGAACGCGACAGTCACACCTCGATCCTTCAAGAAAGCATCATTCCACTCTGGTACTTCGACTCTCTCTCTCAGCTTCAACTCTATGGGTTGGGAACTAGACGTGCCTGAGCGGACGCCATATCCCGGAGTCTGGGAGGCGAAGGTGGCAACCCGGCGAAGGAGGTCGGCAAGGGCGATAGTTGGATCTTGTTCCCCTCCACCCGCGGCTGCTCTCGTTCCTCCCTGGTCCACATCGGGGAGGTTCAACGAATCTCGTCCTTTCCCCCCATTGTCTTCCCCGTGGGGTGAGGAACTAGTCCCTGGTTCCCCCGGAGGTCTTCGTCCATCTCCTCCCGCCGTCTTGTTCGCGCAGACACAGCAGCAACTCTCTTGATCTATTACGCTAGCGTGTTGAGTAGCTTTGTGCGCCCGGCGCAGTTGTAGACGGCAAAAATAAAAGAACCGCGCGGCGAGTTTGCCGGCAACGATAAAATACAGTAAATTGCCCGCGGATGTGGTAACCCGCCGCATCTGTGATGTTCCGGAGCGTGATGGCTCTGATGTGTTGAAGCTGGTGCTGTGACAGCTGTTGTGATGGCGTGATAGCCTAGAGGCGTGACAGCCTGGCAGCGTGATAGCCGGTGGATATGTGTGGACACGGGCGGGCGTGATAGCCCAGAGCGTGATAGCCGGGAAAAGGAAGATGAAAATTATCCAAGGGCACGTGGTCAACACCGTTGCAGGCACGAATACCCAGGAAACAACAATATGTGGCAAAGATGGTACCACCATTCTCCCAATATACCGCAACTGCGGAACCCCGAAAATTCCCCGCTCCATCTTCGGGGAACATTCCTCGGTTGCAATAATCTGTCAATGCTTTGAGTACATCCAACAGACCCAACCGGGGTCACATAGGAGGGGGGGGTTGGACCCCCTCCTGCGGTTCATGCCTGAGGTATTTTTATCGCGAGAAGGGTACAGCAATCCCTTCCCTCGCGACTTACGAAGTCGATTATGGTTTACTAACAAACGAGCTTTGCAGCGCGTCGCTTTCATCCTAGATCAGGATATATTTAGTGAGAAAAAAACTCTCTCTGCCGAGACTCGAACCCATGACCTGGCCCTTAGCAGGCTGCGAGGCTACCCACTAGACCACCGGGGCGACCGGTGAGTATATCCGTGTGACACAACCCCACCCCGCTGTTTTCCAGACTGGGATATCGGGGGCGGGGGGAAAGCCTCACCAGCCAGCTGGCTGCTTCTCAAACCTGTACCAGCTGCAACGCCGCTGCGCAGCGGCGCTGTCGATGGCGAATGAGGGGGAAGTTTCATCATCAGGGAAATTCCCTATGAGGGAGGCAGGGTTCTACTGCGAGTGCGGCGAAAAATGGCGTCGAGAGAAGGACCAAAGCCGATGTAAAGGTTGCGTACCCCCCGTGGATCCATCCTTTCGGGCTTTGGCTTTCCACGCGCAGATCCGGCAACGTCAGCGTCACACCGGCGCTCGACGATGGTGGTGCACATGGAGATACCCACGCTGCGTCTTCCACAGTGTCTCCCGAGGGTGCTACACCATCGGCCGATGCCCAAGGTATGAATACACCGCTGTGCGAATGATAGTAGGTGCTAAGATAAATGGATACAGTGTGTGCTGACAACTTGGTTTTACAAGCGCGGACATGTCTATGCATAANAGTACGAATGAAAGCAGGAGCTAAGATACATTGATTGTACATGTGTGTGTGCTGACAACTTGGCTTTACAAGCGCGGACATGTCTAGTCTATGTATACATTATTCTAGGTACCGTACAAAAGCATGTGCTTGTTCCACAGGGTATGTACGAACGATTAACGAAACTTGGTGTAGAAGCACATACTTCCTCTGTCACATAAGTAAAGTCCGTTATGATTACACGGCCATTTAGCCGTGTCCGATGTCTTAGGCGATACTTTTTTTGAAATCTTGAGCATTTTTAGGGTTGAAACCCATATTTCTTTTATTTTCTTGCGCACTACCCTGCATGCACTAGCGGCTTACAAAAAAGTAGTCAGGCCAAAAAAGGCCGTATTTTGCCCCTTTCCATGAGGGTGGGGGTGGGGGCACGAAACGAAACATACCAAAAAAAGACAAGAATTATCCCGAACCCTAAACCCAAGGTTACCTCTACTGAACGGTCCATTTCGCGTCCTCCCATACAAAAACCAACATAGTAGTGAACCCACACTAAAATCAAGACATTTTCGAGTCCCACACTAAAATCAAGACACTTGGAGGCGCCACACTAAAATCAAGTTACTTGCGGGGCAAAGCCGACAGGCGTAGGGTCCTAACCCTACCCCCCCCTTGTACCCAACAACCCATGTCGCGTCCGCCCAATGTTTTCTGGGGTAATCACTACCAACGCCGTACCGCTCGGCGAGGGGGCCTAGAAAGCCCTTGGGTACCCTTTCTTTGCCCGGCGGAATCGCCAACGCTATCTCCACCGCCATGGCGTACCGACGACCCAACGATACTTCCGCACCCCGCTTACGACGTGGGGGTGTCTGGGCGTCGTCCCCCATGATAGCTACGTCGTTGTGGTGGTAGTGGGTGCTCACACAGCACAAAGCTGCAAATATTCTTTAAAATATTCTCAAAATGTTTTCAAAATATTCCCAAAATATTCGCAAAATAGTCCCGTATTTGACACACTAATTCTCAGTAATTGTGAGTCGGATTTTTTTTTTTTATGTGCGTAACAAGCGCTTTCCAACAAACCTAACTAGAGCTTCAGGAACACCTTGGCTGGTGAGGTATGTAAATTCCCCCATAACGGACTTTACTTCTGTGACAGAGGAAGTACATACATTTTGGTCCCACAGGCGGTGCAGAACTCGCCCTGTTGGGAACAAGCGTCGACGTGCGTTGACCCCGTAAGGTAGGCGTCAACAAGTCAAAGAGATCCTGCACCCAGAGTGATTTGATGGCCCAATTGTCGATCGGAACCTTGGCTGCAGTTTGCATCAGGAACCGCACGCGTATTCTGCAGAATTCGCTGATGTGCGCTGAACGGCACCGTCAAGAACGCATTTCCTTTTTGCTCGGGGCCACGTATACGTCGTTGCACGTCGGCAGTCCCGTAGCCATTCTACTCAAACGTTACGCCGCATGAGAATCCTGCATGGCCATTTGCATATATCATCCATCAACCAGACNTAAGAATACGACGACCTACCGTACAACAGATGGAGACGGGGTTGGGAGATGTCTATGAAGAGCCAAGTGCGGTTGACGACGGCGAGCCGTCTCAGGCGTCCAATGGGCGAGATTCTGGCATCGCCCCCGGTGGTCTAGCAGCCCTTATGGATCGAGTGGATGCACAACCAAGCGTGGACCAAAGCTTTCCGGACGTCGATCCAAACATCTATGGCGGCGAAGGCATGGGGGGTGGGGGGCCTGTGTCGAGTGACGACGTGTATGACGGCGGAGAGGAGCAATACGGTGGTGTAGAATCGAACTCCGAACAGCGTCGACAGCATCTCGAGCCGCCAATTAAGTCAGACAGCCGTAGCAGCGCTGAAGCATTGCGTAGGCTGGAAAACCTTCACACCCATGCACCGTCTTATGCTGCGAGCTCGACGATGGAGGGCGGCCCTGAAAACCTTAGGCACAACACGAATGCGGAAGAATCTGATTTCTATCCGTTCCGCACGAAGGAACAGCAGCTGATATGGATATGGCAGCACACGCAACAGACTTCGCAAAAAGCCTAAGGCGGGCTGCTGGACGTAATCCTTCTAGAGGACGAGGGCAACGGTTTCGACGTGAGTGGACTGGAACGTGTCAACGCTGCGCACTTCAACAACTGCATGCGGCAATACCTTCCTCTTCTACGGGTTCTCGAGCGAAATGTCCCGTCAACACAAGAAGGGAAGAGCTCTGCGGTGGTGTATGACGTACCTGTGAACCTGCTTCTCGCTCGCGACATGAAGCTGGTCTCGGACACGGAACTCTCAGAAACCTACGCGGCGGGAAAAATTTTGCGCGGAGAGGAGGCCGCCGCCAACTCGTTGACGAGCGACCATGTCAATTGTACCCCGACCAAGCTGGTCGACAACGTGAGGGAGTCCAACATGAACGGTACGCTGTCGAGAACGTCCCGATTCATGGGGATTGATGGCACACAAAGCAGCGTTTGTGGGAGAAAAGTGTACGTACACGACATACGCATTTATTTGCGAAATCGCTGGCACGCCTTCTGCCTGTCGTCTCCTCGAGCTCTTCTGGGACACTGCAAGCGGCGGAGTAGTTGCAACTGTTAGAGGGTTTCGGCCAGTAGCGGAGGTGCGAAATGTGGGACAGGCGGAGATGCGAGGAAGACTTGTGCGAGTCTGGGAAGACTGTACTGCTNGGCAAAACGGCGCCGTTCCGAGGAGGACTCGACGCAGAAGTACGAGGTGACCCACGCGCCTTGGTGCAAGGAAGGAACCTCTGAAGACCTACTGTTCGTCTTGAGGAGGGAAGGCTTCCATCTCAACAAAGACGACCTCGTTTATATTTCGGCCCCTGTCGTTTGCTACAACGACGCCTTCAACTGCTTTGGCATGGGAAACAAGGTACGCTGCCTCCGCATTGTGATCGACCAGGATATTGTGGCA